TAACGCCTCTTTCGTTGACTTTTCTCTGTCTTGCTTCTCAAGTTCCTCATCTGTGTTTCCCACATATCTTCCCAAACAAACTACTGGTCACCAAAACCTTGTCAGGGTCCACTTTTAGAGGAACACAAGCCAGGACTGGCTCACACATGACCTGGCAAGTCCATGAACCAGGACGCCCATCAAACACGACACCTCGGATTTGAGTCTTGAAAAACAGAAATGTTCTTTCTCAGATAGAGACTCCACCTGTTTTTTGGTGTTGTCTAACTATTTCTGTTTCTAACATCTCCTGGAAAATTCGTGTGAGTACTGGTACTTCAGCATTCCTCCTGAATTCAAGCATGCTTGGCTGGTCCCCTCTGCAGGTGCCCAGATCCCTTCTATGGGATGACTTTTTGCAAGCCTGGCCTTTCCCAGACACCTCTGACTTAAGGCAGGAAAATCGTATCTATCTGCCAGGTTGAATGTTACTGGGAAGGCGTCCCCTTCTGCACAAGGGTCCTTTCTTCTTTGTTTCCCATTACCCACCACCAAGCGTCTTTGGGCTGTAATGACTGGGTTTTAAAATATCCTTCAGTATTTCACTCTTCGGCTATTCTGTGCCCACCCTGTGGGTCACAGAATCAGGAATAATGAGGAAAGGGATCTTCGAACTGGTTCCACTGAACACTAGGACCTCCGAAGGATTGTCCGGCTCTGAAGTCCAAACAAACAGGAAGCCCCTTGGGAATCCGATGGCACTGAGAACAGCTGACCACCAGAACTTCAGCTTGGGGGTGGGGGTGCGGGAGGCACGCGCAGCATCAAGCTTAGACCCACGAACTAAAACAGGAGAAGGAGCGGAACACTGGGCAGCCCCCGACCGTGGCCCAGTGGCTCAGCGGCCCCCCACTTCTCCAGATGCCACACCCGGACGGGTGGACTCAGAGGACAGCCAGGTCCAGCTGGAAATCGGACAATGAGGGAAATCTGGCAGCAAAGTCTGCATCATTCCCTGAAAGTGAATCACCGTGGGGGAGAAATTCAAAATTGATCTTGAAGGTTCATGACAATGGCTTCCTCCAGAAAGACTGGCACCCATTCATACTCTTGATTCTTTTTAACTCATGTAGAAAGTTGTAAAGCGGGTAGGACCGGGTGGGGGTAGGGGCAGGTGGGGGTAGAAGACACTTACAGCCGCAAATCCAGCAAAGTTGATGAAAGGACTGAGATGTGCTAATAGTAGGGTCCAAACAGATGATCCTGTGCCCTGGCCTCGAGCTCTGGGTCACCATGACTTTCTCAGATTCAGCCTTCGTTAGATTTTGGCTGGGTGAACTGGACCACTCTGACCTTCTGTTTCATCATCTAGAAAACTAGTGTGACTGCTACCAGGTGGCACTGGGTGTGAAGCACCCAGTACAGAGCCTGACACACAACCCCTACTGGATAGAGATAAATGGTGTTAATTAAGCTCACACTACCTTCTAAAACAGCCCCAGACCTCAGTGCATTACCCCAGTGGAAGTTTGGTTCTTGTCACAAAATTCAAAACAGGTGTTCTTCACTGGCAAGCCACTTCCATCCACACAGCCAGGCTGGAAGTTCTTCAAGACCACCTCAGAAAGAGCTGGGTGGACCCCCGACCAGGGGCACGCCACCATTCGGAAGAGGATGCGGAGCTCGTGTGTGGATTTGCAAAGAACGGGTCTTTGGAAAGAAGTCCACGGCTGTCAGAGGTCAGGACTCCTGCAGCTCAGACCAATTTTGCTGAAGGCAAAGTCAGGACAGGTGATCCAGCAGGGTTTTGTTTCAGTGCCGGTGTGGAAATAAATGTGTGAAAAACTGAGCACAGAAATTACATCCTTTCTTGCATATTTTAGATCAAATATACCTGGAACCCCTCTTCATTTCCTCTGCTGTTGCTCTGGTCTCGATCCCCATTGCTTCCCACCTGAATTTCTGCCACAGCCGGCACGGGCGTCACCACCCATCCCGGGCCGCAGCTGGGGGATGGACGGGGAGGGTTTGAGGTCGCTGCTGGGCGAAGAGGAACTCTGGGGCTTGTTAAGGGGCACGTGATGAACTCGGACCATGGAAGTGTGAGGAGGCTTCTCTCTGGCCTCCTCAAGGAGCCTTCGGTCTCTAACGGGCGACGAGGCAGCCTCGCCCACACCACTGGGGCGCCGTGGGGCACTGAGGCTTACTTCCAGGAAAGCGAGGGGCAGGCGGGAAAGCAGTGTTCAGCCGTCGCCGAGGGGGCTGGGACCTGGAGCTCACTGCCCAGCAAGTTCCTGCAAGAGGCCGGTCTTGGGTGCCTGGTGGGTCCTGTTCTCCCAGAGCTGATGGCCGAGGGCCCCCCGCTCAGAGCGCACAGCAGAGTGCACCACGGTCACTGCTGGGGTGGAAGATGGCCGGGGAGGCGGCACGGGGGCCTTTGGAGGATGGTGTAGCACTTGGAAAGAGACCACGCTCTTGTCTCACCTCCTGGGAGGGAAAGGAAGGAAGTCACTTCCTAGGGCGGCTGGAAGGGGCAGCCCCTGCCCCCTCGCCAGAAGACAAAGCCCCGAGAGAAACACTCAGAGTAGGGTGGGGGGTGGTCTGAATCCTTCCCTCCCGCCACCTCGGAGTCAGGGGCTGCAGGCCAGCTCTCAGCTGACGCCATGCCTGACCCCTGGACCAGCAGGACCCTGAACCCTGGTTGAGTGGGAAGAGGCGAGCGGCGAGGTCGTGTGTGCCTCCTGTAGATTAAGTGGCCCGGGAGGTAGCTGGACTTGAGCCAACTGGCTTACACGGCTCCAGGAGAGATTGCTCTCCCGGGAGGCTGGGGGGAGGCCCCAACAGGGGCTGCGAGAGGAGAGGAAAGGGCCCACAGAAGCCAGACTGCCTGGGCTAGACCCCCAGATTCCGGAGAACCGACACAAGCCCGAGCGTCAGCCTGGGACCCTGCAGCAGAAGGGAGCCTGTGGGGGGCGCAGGGGGAGAGCATCGGCCAGCAGTCACCCCAACCCCGCCTCCGGGGTCCAGGAGGCGGCCTCAGCGGAGGACTCCCCAGGCCTGCGGAACCCCGGCCAGCACCTGAGCCCAGCCTGCCCCAGGAACACAGGGAAGAGGCTCTGAATTGTATCTGGGATTTAAGTTCTTAAAGGGACAGGACCCAGCCCGAACAGCAGTGACAGTTTCCATAACCAAAGTGACAAGGAAGTGACAGGTTTCAGCTGACATCTCTTCCCTGCAGTGGCTACCTGGGTGTTAGCGGTGGATCAACATGGCAGAGCCGGAAGCAGGTACTGGAAACTGAAACTGTGTTGAATTGTGTCTCTCTTCTCCAAAAAAAAGCTACCCTGAAGTCCTAACCCCCAGTGCCTCCGGATGTGGCCTTACTTGGAAATAGGGTCATTGCAGGTGTCATTAGTTAAGATGAGGTCACACTTGGGTGGGGCAGTTCTCATCCGATGTGACTGCTGTCCTTGCCAGAAGATGGACAAGTGAAGGCAGGGACAGAGATTGGTGTCAGATGGCTACACGCCAAGGGACCTCCAGGAAGTGGGAAGAAGCAAGGAAGGATTCCACCCCCCACCACCGGCCCGGCCTTCAGAGACAGTGCAGCCTGGCCAGCACCTTGACTTTGCACTTCCAGCCTGGAAGAGAATACGTTTGGGTTAAGTCACCCGGTTTGTGGTGCTTGGTTATGGCAGGAAATGTTCACCGGCTGTTCCGTGGGTTTTGTCCCACCCCCTTCACCAGTGAGGCCCCCTTTCCTAGCCTGGCTACACACGTTTCTTTGCGCCAACGGGATGAACTTGGCTTGGCTGCACTCAGCCTGCAAGAATGGAGGCAGGCCTGTTCAAGCAGAGGGCTCTTCCTCTGGGGCTGGAGAGCTTTGGGGTGGAAAGCTGTCACTGAGAAAGTCGCAGAATGCACATTTCCCTCCCAGGTGGATTATCCATTGCAAAGGAATTCATATCCATCATGGGGCTCTCTGTAGGTCCACTGGGTTAGCCTCATCTAGAAAAGGGAGCCCTTGAAAGATGCGGAGAGGGTCAGCATGACCTACAGAGCAGACATCAGATCCCCGACATCATGGATTGTGAAGTCCCGAGCCCTCCCCCAGATCTCTGCAGATTCCAGCAGCGGCCTCCTCTGCCCACACCCCACTTCCGTCTCTGCCCTTTGTCTACAACTCTGTCGCACTGATTCTGACACAAAGCTCAGTTCTTCCTCCAGTTTCTGTGCAAATGCACAGACGTTGAGTGCCTCTGTGAATTTAGAAGTTGCACCCAAAGGTCTGGGTGGAAATCCCAGGGAGTGCTCTTTGTGACCACCCAGTCTCCCCTCATCTCCCTGGCCCCACCCATTCTCCCACCTCCTCTCTCCCCATCATTAGAGTAACTGTCAGATTCATCCCCCATCCTCCGTGCAACAGTCCTGCCCACGCCCAAGGTCCCTGTAGCTTTCCCAGCAAGAAGCGCTTGACAGAAGAGATGTGTTTTGTCAAACAAACCCAGTTTCCTTTTTAAGTGGAATTCAGGTCCCACCTAAATATTTATGTATGTGTTTCTTGTGTTATTTCCGAAGACCAGAGGGAAAGGCTCTCTCAAGAAAAAAAGAACTTGATGCTCCGTCTTTGAGACTCCAGAAAAGGGGAGGGGAGTCCTGGGCCGACTATACGTCCTCTCTCGGCCAGCGTGAGTGGGAGCAAACGCAGTGCCCGGGGAACAATCATTTTAAAGAGGCTGAGAAGGGGGCCAGGTCTCTGGGACCCAACCAGAAGTTAGAAAGGAGGAAAGCCAGCCTGGTTCCTAAGACCAGGAAGACTCTGGGGACCCTCAGTAAGGAACTCAGCCCACCCAGGCTGGGTCCACCTGGCCTCCCGCACACTGTCTGATGGGGCTCTCTTGCCCCTTCCCTGGAAATCAAAGGGTGGTACCCAGGGTCCTGGACCCAGGCAGGGCCCCGCCTCCCTGGCCCAGGGGCGATGCTGACACAGAAACAACATGGCCAAGAACACCAAACCCATAACACTTTCAATATACTTTATTAAAAAGTTTCTTTGTATAAATTTCCTAAAATTTTTAAAATTAAAATTAAACCCCCCTGCACAAAAAAAAAAATTAAAACACACACACAACATTAGAGGAATGCCAGAAATGTTCTCTGTGATGATTTTCTTTTCATTCTTTAATTGAGGCATGGTCCCACGACAGTGCACAAAGATTAAGGGATTTTGCTTCCTTCTAACTTCTAGATCGTCTGTTAGAAGCTTTAGAAAAAGAAAACCAGCTAGAAATCTAATCCAGGAAATCAGGGGACGAGGGAATGAAAGGCTGGACTCTGGTTTATCCTCCATACACAGGCTTTCCATCTAAAGTCATGCTTAATTAAGAGGGAAAAAGATGAAACAAGCAGAAGCATACAGAGTAACTGTGAAATTTGGGGTTATTTTCTAGACCTTACACTTGCCTGAAGCAGGCATCAGGTGAAACTCCAGAAGGAATTTGAGTTTATAGGACTGTTCACATAAACACCAGCAGTGGATAACTGTTACACAACGTTCAAAGTATACAATATAACTGCCTGGAGACAGAGAGCGTTGGGTCCACAGACACATTTAGCACCATATTGATAGGTCATGCGGCAGACGGGTCCTCCCAAGTCTGAGTGTAAATCAAAGCATGAAATGGTACAAAGTGCGCGGGAATCTATACCCAGAGCTTCTACAGAGACGACTTGCCATGGCTGCCTCCTTCTGCTTCAAGAGGTATGTGTCACCGGTGGGCCACGCTTAGGTCTCCATCGCAGCGATGACTCCGGGGTTGACAGGCACTGGGCGTGGATGGAGGGGCGGCAGGTGAGGGCGGGAGGGAAGAGGAGGGGAGAAGCCACATTACGGACCCAAAAGGACACTGTGTTTCACATGAAAATGATCCCATGGCCTCTGGCTTTCATCACCAATCTCACCTTTCAGCTCAGCTCCTACAATGGTTCTCCCAGAGCTTCTTGGCCTGGGGTTTGGGGCTGTCTGTACCATTTGAGCCCACTCTCTCTCGGCTGGCATCACCTTCCTGGCCTTAAGCACACCCAACTCTCCCATCTGGCACTGGCCTCGGGCTGTCTGTGAAGCTGTTCTGATTTTATTACCAATCACGCTGGCCGGTGTGATGGACGGCCCCGGGGTCAATGTTGTTAGAGGAAGCAAAATTATTTCAAGATGAATAGACCATATAGGGGCTCTTTATCTGTGGTGGTGTCTATAATTGCTCATTATATTATTTTCCCAATCACCATGTTTGTTGCAATATTTTATGAATAACAGAAACTTAGTAACATTTCTGAAGAGTGAGGAGTGGTCGGCCACACGTTTCCTCACCGGCAAAAATACAAGGACTTTTTAGGAAATTCTAAAACTCAGAAAGCAGCTGTCATGTGTTTTACCTGAATACCTGCCTCATCTGAAGACACGGTGTGTCTCCTTTTTCAAACCTGTCATAGTCACTGTGATTCAAATGTCTTTGGGAGGTGAATTGCTGGCCTGGAGCGCTCATCCTATTTGGGAAAACCACCAGCACAAAAGCAGAATCACTTACCAGGAGCGCAGACCTTTTCACATTCTTTCTGCGAATTAAATCTGTTTTCGTTTCCACCGCAACCTCCGTACCAGAACCTCGCACAGCTTTTAGTCTTCGAATCATAGTACCACTTTAAAATAAATTTCCTGCAAGTCCCTTCTTCTTTTTGTAACTGACATATATCTTGAATAACAAGATGAGAAAAAAGTGTCAGTTAGAACATGCACGCTACCGGGCTCCCAGCTCCAGGGCGGAAGGTCTAGTCACCGTGCTGTCAGAGGGGAACTTCACGACCTCCTCACGCCTGTGTCCTTACTGTCACGTGGACACGAGGCTCTCAGCTTTGAGAGCACTGAACACAATCGCATCGATGAAAGGACTTCAAAAAGTGCACTCAGAGCCCCACGTGGTAGCAATTATTCCTGGGTAATTTGAGATGAACTGTGTTTTCCCCTTTCCAATCACTGGGTCAGTTACTCTCCAAATCCCTCAACGCTAAATCTGTGAAGAAGTAACCAAATTCTAAAACACTGGAGTTTTCTACTCGTTGGCAAAATAGCAATTAAGTTTTGTCACAATGTAGTTCAAAAATAAGGCTGCCCATTTCCCAACAAGCCAAGAAGATTAAAAATAAAAGTCAAAGTGGACCGGGGGAGGGTAGAGTTCAGTGGTAGGGTGTGTGCCTAGCATGTGTCAAGGTCCTGGGTTCGATCCCCAGCACCTCCACTAGAGATAAATCAATAAATTTTGTAAAGCCCCAATTACCTCCCCTCCTAAAAAATTTTAAAAATTAAAGAAAATTAAAAGTCAAAGTGGAAAAAGGAGATCCTTTATGAGTGTGCGCACGCCGATGCGTGTGTCTGTGTCTGTGTGTACCGCCTGCTGCCTTGCTGACTGGCCAAACTGAACAAGTAAAAAGAAGTGCTAACTCTGATGTAAAATTCATGGCAGCGAAAATCTCACACAGCAGAGCTATTCTGAAGACAGAGAAGCATTCTTTGTCCAGTTAAGGAAGTTTATGTTTTAAATCATGCTTCTGATGTAGCCCAGCTGCAGAGTAAAAGCTACGTTCTCCACAATGCCTGGAAAGAACGGTTTACAGCCCTCACACAGTGAAGCTGCTGTTTACAGAGCTCTCTGGCAAACTCCAGATTGTGCTGGGAAAGAGACGCGTTCACGGCGACCGCTATCTGAAAGTCTGAAATGGTAGAACGAAACCCCCAGAGTGGGCAACGCTCCGTGTTTACGAGTAACTACCGTGCATGGCTCACCAGCCCTCCCCACGCGGGGCTGGCGCCTCCGGGCGCCTTTGGGCCAGCTGCGTGGGTGGCAGGGGTGCTTAGCGTCTGCAGTGCTGGTTGGCACTGGGGAATAAAAGGAGAATCTGGCTCTTGGGGTAGAAAAGCCAAGCTCGGTCATCCATAAGGGGCCAGACTCACAGGCACAGGCCTGAGGCTCAGAATTGGTCTAAATCGCTGGCCTTGGGGAGGCCGTCACCCACGCACGAGGAAGGTGGCCCCACAACTACAACATCTCCTAGTTGCAGACCCTCTCTGAGGCCCAGGAAGCCAGCAGTGCTACCAAGAGCCTTTGAAGACCCAATAAAGCCAGGATAAAATGATGGCAATTTACAAAAACAACTTTCTTCCTCCCTCCCAAATAGGCCGACAACTGAGGGAGGCGCTGGGCTTTGACGTCGCCATGGAGGTGCTGAGCAAGGCAAGCTCACTCAACCACCAAAGCAGACCCCTTGTGCACCGGTGGGCCCCCCGTTAGCATGAGACCCAGACCAAGGGGTTGCCGCCCCCTGTCCCCTTTCTTCCCCAGAGCATCCCCCAGTGGCCTGTGTTTGTTCCAGGTGCACTCTGTCCTGGCCATCCGTGTTGAGCTCTCTGCTCCCTTCTCCCCTGTGCTCTTCTGAAGAGACAGGAGAAGGCTCCGCAGACCCAGGACGCCCAGCCTGGAGGCAGCCCTACAGCGGAGCACAGCTCCCTGGCTGGCTTTTCCAGTTGCCTGTGATCTTCAGCATAACTCTCCAGGACCCAACTAGTGCTCTCGCATTTTATCTCCTTTATCCCAGGGGGAGTCACTGCCAAGACCTGTAAGGTCTGCTCATGGAACATAAGGGCGCCATTACATGGGGAACCAAGAGAAACACACTAAGCAGGGCCTCACGCTATTCAAAGACAAAAGCCTGGACTCTCCGCTTTCAAAGCATCACAGCGGGAGGTTTTCTGCTCTTAAGAAGACTCACAGTTTTAAACGCCCATCATTTTGATTCCTGAGACACCTGCAGGCTGGACTCGCCTGAGCTATGTCTACAGATGCTAAAACGACTGTTTCAAGGTCCAAGAAATTAAAATGTCCTGTAGCCCAAAGAGGGGTGGCTGGACCTCGGTGAGTTTTCCCAAGAACAAGCCTTTGGACTTGACAGTTGTACACGTTTCCCTCCAGAAGGAGTTTGCCCTTTGGGTCCGGCCTGGGGGAGTCTGGAGGCCTTGACCCAAGGGGAGCGTCTGGCTGTGGATTCGATGCTTTTCTCTTCCTTATGCTGGGGACCCAGCGGGAGCCTAAGAGGCCACGGGGAGGACATTATCAGTAACCTTTCCTGGTCCATGTTTGCCTAGAATTATAATGTAAGTAAGCTTCATTTTAAAAGAAAGGCTCGAGAGGTTGCCTTATTCGGATCTCCACCTGGTGAGACTTCCTGGTGGAACAGTGACTGGTCCCCAGTGAGCGTCCAAACACCAGAGGAAACTGATGTAGGCGTGATGTCTGGAAAACCCTGTCTGGGGAATCCCGTGTCCAGAAGCCGCAGGAGCCAACGTAGGACGTCCTAGAATAACAGCCACGTGGTGGAAGACACCCAGAGAAACAAGGCCTGTGCTTATGTGTGTGTGTGTGTGTGTCCGTCCACATGTCACGTTCATGGAAAAAACCAGGCAGGACACACCCTGGGTCCTTGACGGTGGTCGTCGGGGGCTGTCAGTGCTGTGACTGTAAGAGTCACCCTCTTCTCACATTTTTCTGTTTGTGCTGAATTCCTCACAAATGAATATCTATTATTTTATTACTAGGAAAGACAATTACTATTTGAAAGTGAAAGCATGTTGAATTGGAAACGCTTGCTTTTGTTACAGTTGGAGATTCTCTGCTGTCTAAAAGCAGCATTTCAAAGGCGTCAGCTCTGACACTTCCCAGTGAGCTATCAGTGCGTAAGCGCTTTCCTAAGCGAAGCTGTGGGGGCCAAGCGGCAAGCGTTTGCGCCACAGTGTAGGTGCGTGCAAGTATGTTCCTCGTCAGATTAATGGTTTCAAAACAAGAAAAAGGTTCACTGCCTTGGGACCAGACATGGGTGACAGGGTTTAAGTGCTTCCAAACCTCAGAAGCAGGTACAATTGGCCTGAATGAGAAAACCTTTCCTGTGTCCACAGTTTTAAGTATGTATGGGCTCCAAACGTACCAAGGAAATTTATTTGTATTTTTAACATTATTTTAAATGTAATTGTGGCTCTTTTGGATCTTGACCAATAGATTTTATTTCATAAAACTTTTATAGTTTAATGAAAAAAAAAAGCCAAATGCCCTTGGAGACGCAGCATGACCCACGCACGGCAGCTGGCTGAGCTGCGTCCTCACGCAGCGATAAACACACAGCCCTGAAGGTGGCTGTGTCTTTTCAGCCAAGTCGAGAAAATATTTGTGGCTATTTAATTTACCTCAACTGGTGGGGTTAAGTTAGTTCTTTAAATTATTATTAACATAAAGTCATATATTTTCCCCATCACATTATTTTATGCCACCCGACGTGAACTGTTCATGGGAGAACACAGCCAAACAAATAGTGTGTTCCATCACATCTAAGATATCTTATCTGTACCATGCACTGCTGTCGTCTGTTCCATCAAATAAGAAAAAATGCTGCCAATAAGCCATGACATGGCATCAACTTCAAGTTAACATTTCAAGTCCCGAAGGACTGCTCTGGGGACACCGTACATCTCAGGATCGATAAAGTAAGCAAAACACTGGAGGACGCATTTCTGATAGAGCTGAGCTGAGTGACTGACCCGGAGATGCCCGCTCAGACAAAATGTCATTTCTACAGATTGCTAATTTCTAGAAAAAGTTGGAAAAAAAAAAAAGAATGGCACACACTTTGTTATTTCAGCTGTCTTCTGCATTGAAACATTTCTTCACACACAGGTAGGCCAATAATTTAAAATTTGTTTTGTAATATTGTAAAAAAGCATATTTGCTGAGTTAGATTTTTTTTGGACGTTTAAAAACTTCAGAAAGTCTTAGCTTTACTAATCACATGCAAAGAAAATATCTACCCAAGGCTTCTTTAGCCAAAAATGAGAAGGAGGAGGAGAGAGGAGATGATAAAAACCTAAAAGCAACATTAGCAACTTCGCAGCACCCTCAGGACCGGCAGTAACAAAGCATGCTGCGGGCCCGCCTGGCACGGTGATGCTTTTCCAAAACTGTGGTGATAATCACAGAAAGATCCATTCAGCTGCTGCTAATGCCGCTCACAGGCAGCAGACACATCCCAGAAACATGGGCGGGACTCCTGCAGATGCTGAGGAGAGCAAAAAGTAGGGCGGGATTTTTTTTCCCCACAGAGTTTCTTTTGTTTTGTGGAGGAAAATACAAGTATTAACCATTTAAAATGGAATCGCGTAGAACTGCAAAGTCTGGAACCTTGAATGGTTAATGATGCCAGGGTCTGCTCACCAGCCTCCACCTCAAGTTGAGCTCTTACTGCCGCACCTCACGCTCCACGCCCAGCAGGGCCAGCCTCATGTGGGGGACAGAGACTCCCCTCGCTAGACTGTCCTCTCATTACATGCCTCTATCCAATTTCTGTTCAAGAAGTATCTACTAAATGTGAGTTGCAAAACAAGCAAATGTTAGCATACGCCAATGAAAACACAGGGATTCGAACTGCTCAGTCTTCTCCCCCCTCACTGGATGCCATGGACCAGAGACCTATTCATTTCACAGGGCTTTTGCCTGCAAATTCTTGCATAAATTCAGACACTGGTTACCATGGTTCCTAAATCCAAAGTGGCAAACAAAATTTGACAAATGACAAAATTTGGTTCCTTGAGATGGACTCAAAACCCCCAGTACATCTTTTATTCATGGAGGTAAAAAGGCAAGGAAAAGTATGTCGCATTGAACACTGAGAAAGGAACACCTCTCTGCAGGCCCAAACCGTGTTTCTAACGAATTGGTGCTGCGTTAAAATAAAATGAGAAATTAAACTGCATTCACGTCCACATATAAAAGCTACTTTTAAATTTTATTTTACCTGAGTTTTCTAGAAAATATCTCTTTGGAGAAACAATGCACATTGTGGCAGCTGATACTTGGATGCTAAATATATGCACCTACTGAGTAAGAATAGTTACTATATTTTTTAAAGTTATTTAATAAACAACGTTTGGTAGTCACGCCTCCTGTTTCTGTCTGCAGAAACACGAATATCATTAAAATGCTTTACCCCCGGGGAAAATTCCTAAGGTGCTTTAATTATGGGGGAGGGGAGGGGGGAGGTGGGGACGGAGGGGGAACCGACTTTTCTCTCCTGATTCTGTTTACCCATTTTGAATTTACACATTTTAAAGTAAACATCCAATGAATTTAATTCGAGAAGAGCTTTCAAAATGGGGTGTGTGTTTGTGTGCGCACCCCATATGTTCGCTGAGCAAATATTTAGCAAGCGACTTCTTCAAGCAAAGCACTATTTTGTTACTTGCAGGCTAGAGATCAATTATGCAGAACGTTGCTCTTAAGAGAAACGAGTTGTTTATATCTTCATGCTGACTTGAATCACCAGATGGGAAACACGCGCACACACACACACGCGTGTGAAAGTGTGAGAAAACATCAAGTCCTGGGTTTGAGAGTTCTCTACTGATCAAAATAAAGCAGGAGGGTTTTTGATCTTCTGTATCTCACTCTTCCTTGTCGCCCTGAAAAACACTCAAGCCCCAATTTCAAAACCTCTTTTCTCTCCGTCACATGAAGAGAAGAGATGGAAGGGCTGAAGGTCCGATTGAAAACACCTTCCTACTTCCGAGCCTGTGACTCAGTCTGAAAAAACAGCCCAGCCAGATTCTTATTTAAAGATCATGTTGTTTATGTTGACTGAATGCTGCTTATATATTCGTATCCCTTCTGGACCACACGTGAGAGAACCAGAGACGCCCCCCGAACCTCACCAGGTCATTTTACTCCTAGTCGTTTTCTGTCAGTGAAGCACCAAAGTTGCTAGAAACTTTACCTTTCCCACACTCTGTGAGGTGCGGAGTTACCGATGAGCGGGAAACAGTATGCACTGATTCCAGGGACCCTGAAGTCAGACTGTCGTTGGTCCTGACCCGGGTCTTTGGTGAAATCCATGTGGTTTCTCTGAGCCCAAGCCCCGCGCTGGGCGGCCTCAGGGCAGGGGACAGAGGCTCAGCCATGGCCCTTTAATTATGAGCAGAAATCAACGGGGTTGAGACCGAAGTTTTCTTCTCCATCCCAAACCATCACACCACATCCTCTCTTCCCTTTTGTGAAGTTTGAGTTGAAAATCATAGCATTAAAAGTCTTTATAAAAATATTTTTACACAATCCCTAAGAAGTTAAAACCTCACTACCCAGCCTACCATGAACTCCTGAATCATTCCCATGAATTTGTATCAAAAGGCGGGGATTCCTTTTTTCTCTGTCAATTCTTCCCCTGGAAAGGCCACAGGAGTTTGAAAAAGGCACACGGCTGTCTCTAACATAGACGCTTCCTGACGCGGTTTCCAAAAGCAAGCTGTTTTAAACCATTCTGCAGCTCTGTAAGTGGTTGGTTTATGGATGTTATTACACATCTGTGTGTGAAACAGTTTCACAACTCCTGCCTCAACTTCACTACCTTCTTTCCAGTAACTTCTGGTGCCACATGTCAGTCTGGGTTGTGGCTGAATTAAGGGAAGACAGATAGACAGACAGACAGATGCAGATGTGCAGATGTAGATGTTCATACAAACACACGCACATGGATGTAGGGAAAGTCCACTGATGGAATAAAGTGCTGTGCTAGCCATGGAGACGGTTCCCTTCAGAAGCAACTCAAAGAACCAGGAGCCCTCTGTGCCCAAGTGGCCCCAGAGAGACGGGCTGTGGAGCCAGAAACCCCCCACTTCCACTTAAACGCAGCTGAGCCAGTGCGGACTCCAGAAAGGGTGAGATGGAGAAACAAGTATTATCCTAAAACTTACGATGGCAAGAGTAAGATGGGGCCCCTTCACCAGCAGCTCAAAAACTGATGTGCTGGTGCTTCTGACAGTGCAGTGCGTATGAAGAAAACACAGCTGCTTTCCAACCTGCGGGAAGCAGCGAGGCGCTCAGCCCATGTCCCTTATCACACCCCTTTACGGAAATAAACGTTGTAAAGAGATCTGCCTTCCTCCTCCCCGCTGTGGCCAATATCTCACAGAGCAGTCAGTCGGCTCCATTAGGGGAAACCTTTTGCTCTGAGGTCTATAAAACAACAACGTATCTAAATAACCACGGGGCTTTTGACTTTGGATATTGGTACCAGTGTCTCCTCTTAAGCAACGCACACCGACTATTTCATCAACCGGTTTCTCACGGATCAACAATCGTAGCTCATGTTCCGCTGACTGAGAGATTACAGGTCTCCCAGAGCTCCGCCGCCCAGGCACAAAAGCGGCTGCCAGTTCCAGTGACATGTCTAAGCTGCCACTGATTTAACAAAAAATGTGCACACACTGGGGCTCAGGCACGGGGAGAAGGGTAGGACAGACTGAGCCAGGGTGTGTGCTTAGGAAATTGGGACCGGGACATCGATCCCATGGGTCCCTTCCAAACCCACATATTTCATGGAGTCCAGTCTGAGTTGTCTTGTGATCCTCTAAGCAATTTTTTATTAGATTAAATCACTGGGTGGATGAAACCCTACTCTTTGCTGCATCACAGACCACAAACCAACTCTAATCCCAAAACGAGGCACAGGGGACATGACTAAGGGCCACGAGAACTCCCGGCCACAGCCGCTCTCGTCCCACTGCTTCTGCGCGCCTGGTGACAGGCGAGGCGAGTCCCACCTGGAACCTGGGCCGCGCAGAGCCAGCCGGGGGCCTTCTCCGCCGAGCCCGGCTGGTCTGAGGATCAGAGCCCCAGCAGACGACTGAGCACAAGACTGCCAGGGCTCCCAGCCCCCCGAGAGGACGCTCTCCTAGTGCTGCCGGTGCGCCCGGCGGCTCCACAACTCACCTGCTTCACCCCCAGCCAACGGGTCTCTGCTCACCAGGAGGTTGATGGTGGAACTGGACGCCGGCTTCACTGTCTGCGGAGGTGACGGCTGAGTTTTCTCTAGAGAAGGAAGAGACATGCAACTAGCAGGCAGCCCCGGAAGGGAAGGGCCTGGGAACCCGGGGCTGGGGGCCTGCCTGGGTCACGCTGCACACAAGGCAGGGCCACCGGAAGCCGGAGAGCCAGGAGGTGTCTCTCACCCCGCGCGCCTGTGGCCTGCACTGCCAAGTCCTGTCAGCAAGGAAACGGAGGAATCTCAACTTGAACAAATCCACTCATTTCCTGCAAAACCTTTCTGCTTCCATCCAAGAAAACAGCGCCCTGGGGTCATAGGGTCTTTGGACTCCTAACCTCAGGGATTGCGTGGTGACTGACGGGAACCCCCTTTCCTCAGCCACAGCTCCTCTTCGGTCTGAAGAACGCTGGCCTGGCCCAGCGATGAGACCGCCCCCAGCCCGGCCCGCGCCCCGGGGGCAGCAGGGGTCAAGGCGAACTGCAGTGGGAGGGGGAGGGGAGGGTGGGGGAGGGGGTAGGGAGGGGGCGTCAAGGACTTAGAAGAGGCGGGATGAGCGACTAAGGGAGACCTGGAAGCAGGCCTCAGGGCAGCGGAGGAGCCCCAGGCCAGCACAGCGGAGGGCAGAGCCCGAGCGGGTGGACCAGGGGAGGGAAGCGCTGATGGCCTTCCTACAGTGGCTGCGGACGTCCCGCGGCCCCTGGGACACTGAGACCTAATGGACTCCTCAGCTACTCCCAAAGCCGCCAGTGACGCCGCAGTGTTTTCTGTTCAGTGAACATGGAACACGCTTCTGACACAGGGACGCGGGGAGCAGCTGAGACCCACTGGTTGCGTGGGTATATTTCCTCCTCCCAGCATAGGGGCTGCGCTCAGGCCAGATGGCTCTGGTGTTTCCTCCGTAAAGGAGCCAGGACCCCAGAGGCAGGGCAACAGTTCACTAGGAACCCCACTTTCCATTTTGCTAATTTATAAAGTCAGGTGCAACCAGCGCACCCAGGACTTTGACTTAACCTTGTTGCTGATTCAGAACAAGGTCAGTGAATAAGAATCATCCGTTTTCTGCCCCCGTTTATATCCCACACAGAGACAGGTGCCAGCTTTCCTTAAACTGACCGCGCACTTACTTGTACTGAAGCTGCCTTGGTAGGTGGCTCTGACCTGAGACCTCAGGTAGCAGACGACCGTCACGTGGTACGTCTGCCCGGCAAGCAGACCCCCGATGACACGGTCCGTGGCCGTGAGGTTCTGCCTCAGAACCAGGGACTGGTCGTGGGCCGAGGTGACGATGAGGTCATAAAAATAAGCACTGGGGGGCTCGGGCCTCTCCCACTGGAGTCTGGCGCTGTTCTCTGTGACCTCGGACACCTGGACCTCTCGGGGTGCCTTAACTGGAAGACAGAGCAGAACAGAATGAGAAAAACCAAAACCCTCAGTGACTGCAACACGCAGGTCAGAGATGAAGTCTCACAGCGATGTGTCAGCAGACAGCTGATCCGAAATTCAGGTGAGGCGGGGAACTCATTTCTCGTTCAAGGTCCTAAGAAATGCCGATGTGGTGCCTACCGGCCGACGTGAAACATGAAACTCACAGTGATCGAAACTCTGCTTATTCATCAGCAAGGTATCTACCTACTTTTTTTTTTCTATTGAAAATATCTCTCATTAAGGAGATATTTTGAAAACACATGGTCCAGGGTGCTAATCTGAAGTGTTCAAATACTAAATGAGCCCCGTAGCTTAAAACCTGTTGAATATACATCATGAAACGTCAGGGCATGACGTAAGATTTTTTTAAAGGAAACTCTGCTTTCTCTGTGTTCATAAAATGAAGACAATTGCCTCTTTTTCATAAGCACGAACATCCTGCCTTCGCTCTTCTGTGTGGTTTGTGGCTCTACAGACTCTTCCAGCGTCTTGAGATAAAGATAAAATAGCACACTCCCCTGAAGCCAGCCTCTCCCCAGCCCCTGCCCGGAATCTAACTCGGCCTGGAACTTGTCCTCCCCAGGCGCACGTGGTTCAGTTTGTTTAGTGTTAAATTACACCCCCCCAATATTGCCACAGCACGAGGCTCGGGACCCTCATCCTGGGGCCTGTGCTCCCAGCAGGGGTGACGTCTGCAATTACAAAGCTCCACCCAGACCTTCCGGGATCATCCTTAGGGAGGTGGGTCTGGCCCCAGACCCCAAGCAAAGAAACCTCTGCTTCTGCCTGAGAGCCTAACGACAGGCTCTTTCTTTCTCTCTCACTCCCTCGACGGGGTCTAAACCCTCGTCCACTTAAAACTCATCCTTTTAGCTTAAGACAGGGCATTTCCAGGAGAGACGGCTGGTGGTGGCTGTCTGCTGCCATCGCAGAGAGAATGAGCCGTTCTGCGCTCACCCCGACGCAGGCTGGGGCGGTCAGAGTGGGAGGGCGGAGGCAGCAGACGCTGGGGGCCCACTTCACCGGCTCTTTGCAGGGAGCTCACCAGCCCCGCGGCGGGGAAGAGGAAGATTGCTTCCTAACATAGAAAAAGAGCAGTGGTTTGGCAATTCCATGCTCAAACCAGCACCTTCCAAAATACATCCCCTAGATGGCAAATCCCAGCTCAAGGACTGTGTTTGGACTGCTTGGTAAACAGGCTCCGAGGGACAGGCCCGGGACACAGTAAATGAGGACGTCATGAGTCGGTGGCTTTCTTACCCACGGACTTAGCAGTGGCCGGCTTGGCAGCAGCTGATTTAGCTACGAGAGGCCTAGGGGCCTCAGGCTTGGCAAGCCCAGGTCTGGCAGCGGCAGGGGGTCTGACTGAAGCTGGCTTTCCTGCTGCGGGCTTCGCTGCCACCACCGCAGGTCTGACAGTGGCCGTCTTCGCAGCCTCGGGCTTGGCGGCCACGAGCTTAGCGGCCTCGGGCTTGGGGGCCACAGGCCTAGTGGCTTCAGGCTTGGTGGCCATGGGCTTACTGGCCTCAGGCTTGGCGGCCACCGGCTTAGTGGTCTCGAGCTTGGTGGTCGCGGGCTTGGTGGCCTCGGGCTTGGTGGCCACGGGTTTGATGGCCTCCGGCTTTGCAGCCTCAGATTTCCCAGCCATGGGTCTTTCGGCCACGGGTCTCACGGAGGCTGGCTTTGAGGCCGGCAGGTTGACAACAGCTACTGGTTTTGTGGTGGTGGTCTCTGGTTCTGCAGTGGTCACTGGCTTCGTTGTGGTCACTGGTTTGGACGTAGGACTTGAGGTAACATTATTTGGAACACTTCTGTTAAAACATATTAAATATTATTTCAATTTGTACATGTTTTTGCCCCTGCCTAAAATAGACAAAGGCATAACTCCGTGTGCTGTGCAAAATTTGCTGCCCCACCAAGATGCATGCAGGAGCTTTCACATAGCACATATAATATTGCGCATGTTAAATTCTTTCTTTTTAAGGTCTGTGCCACAGAAAGGTATTGAACAGCATATAAAAATAAATTTATTAAAAATGAAGCCTCTATTGTACTATAAATATACCTGACACCTTACTTTCAGTTCATAAAATAAAAGCAAGGAGAGAGTAAAGAAACAAAAATAAATAATGTGTTAATATTTATTATTGACACTAATAAGTAGTAAAAGTTAAATAATATTTGAATAATGCTCTGATTATAAAAATTGACCAACTGAAACACACACATCCAAAATGAAGTAAAATCTGTTAAGAGCTACCTTCATTATAATAAAGTATCCACTCAACAAAATTCTGTGTTGAGCTGGAAAATTATGAAGTCGACATACGCTCCCTCCCAGGGCTTGCTGTGTTTGTACTGTAACTGGTGTGTGGGGGGTTCTTTTTCCCACAAGCTCTTGATTTATTGCGAATCCCTGAGGAGAGCACTGGCGTAACCAGCAGGCACGCGGCACAGGCCCACCTGTGTTCGCGCCTCGCCCTGAGGTGAGCATTTCAGTCATTGTTGTATAGGTGTGTCAGGCTGTACACACACTGTGTGCAGTGTATTTTCAAGTTGACATCATAAAACTTCAAATACTATACGTTGTTTGGTTCATTCTGTTTTCCCACAGTTAAGCCAATTTTAGAGAATGTTCAAGAGAAATTATAAAGATAATAAAAGGCAAGAAAGATGGAACCAGTGAGCCTGGATCAAGCAGGCTAGCCGCACAGCACCAGACGAGGGGCACGGCCGCCTGGGGAGGTTTCCAGCTTGCTGGGCTGAGACATGAAGCCTTCCCTCTGGGGACCCAAGAGGCGGGAGACGGAAGCGTGCGCGGTAGGAAGAGGCGGGCCTCCTTTCCCCACCTGGACGTCAGCCAGGAGAGAGCCAGCTCGTCACTGTTCAAGGGTCATTCAAATCGGCTTTGCATCTGGATGCAGCCGTCAGAACCCCCGCCGCCCGCAAAGCGTGACACTCTATGGCTTTCACTTGAGCAGCACAAATTGCTGGCACATTGCCTGAGCTCAGTCTCTGCCACCATGTCCCCCTTGTCCAGCCTTCTGGCACACGGCCACACTGCCCTCCTCTCTGCTCCTGGAGTTGGCATCAAAGGTGGCGCTGGACATAAGGCCACTGAGCGTGTGCCAGGCGGCCAGCATCACCGTGGGCACTGCAGCCCTTCCCCCCGTCCCCTGGTGCTCTCAGCGGTCTTCCTAGGAGAACACGCACGTTGCCTCGTCACCACCACCACCTGTGCTATCACAGCATCCATCATTTTAGGAAGATTCAGAGTCCACTTCTGCTTAGTGTGCCCAGTCCTTCTATATGAAATCATTTCACACCAGTTCAGTAGACTGTTCAGGCATATGGCCCCAATGGCCCACCTCTGTGTCCCACACCCTTTACAAACACGATGTGGCTGGCACTCCCAACAAGTCCAGCTCCCCACTCTTGAATCCAGCTAGGCTGGCTTCAGACATGCTTTGGCCAATAGAACACGGCAGAAGTAAGTGTGCGCCAACTCTAGCCTAGACTGCACGAGGCCTTGCACACATCCACCTTCTCTCATGGACCCCTGCCCAGTCTCCTTGCGCACAAACCCAGGCTCGCCTCCGGAGAATGAGAGCCCACAGAGAGCAGAGATGAGCCATCCATGTAAAGCCATCCTGGACCACAGTCCACAGTTGACCAGTAGCTGACCACAAATATGTCAGTGAGCTCAGCAGAGCCCACAAGAACTGCCCAGCTGAACCCAAGTAGAAACAGATACCCCACAGAATTGCAAATTAAATTAATAGTTGTTGTGTTGATCCACTATGTTTCAGGTAGCTTGTTACACAGCAAAAGCTAACAGATGCAACAGATTCTTTGAAAAGAGTGGCCCATCTGATCTTTGGGAAGTCATGCTGTCTGGATTCCAACATCCTCACCCCATAACATTAAGCACTGGTTGGTTGGAGGACCTCTGCCGTCCCTCTAGCACTAGAATTTCTGAGACAATTATTATGATCACTTACACTTGTTTGTGACCAAACTTCACAAGATTCTTTGCCTGCTGGTCCCCTTGGAACCAATCACACTGTTTCCTGATATCTGGGGACAGATAAAAAGCGTTTTTACCTAGAGAAAAACAGAGAGAAAAGTATTTTAAGGGCATATAAATCACATACAAATTAAAATTAATCTGCTAGTGAGTTAAATGCATCGCATAGCAGGCAGCCTATAAAAATTTGTTGAATTAATTAATCCTTCCAGACAACTTAAGCCCAGTGATTTAAGACATTAAGTACAATGGTACTTGATCCATAAGACATCTTCAGCCAATAACTTCCATTTGGCAATATTTGGGTAATTAGGTTAAAGGTACTTACTCAGTGTGACAGGGAGACAGGAAGAGAAGAAAAATCAAGTGCAGAGTTTAACAGGCTCCAAACTCCTGAACACCAAATTATAATCCAATTACTTTTAGCACTTTCTCAGTGCTGTTTAACAACGCTTTTGTTTTTAACCTTCTGTGGACAGTCATCGTGGCCCTGCATGAACATGCTGGCCCACCTCTGCTTTATATTATTTTCCTTAAAACTTTGGAGGGAGGGGGCAGTTCATCCTTTATAAATCTCCCTCATTTGTCCAATACTTTCCTGTGCTGACTCTGGAGAAAGTGGTGGCGAATGATACACCTTCTCTGGGACGTGTGGTGTCCTGGGACCACAGACCCACAAAGGGCTGACCAACAGGCCATGGAACAGCTGTGGTGAGGCCAGTACCAGGTTAAAGAAGAGCAGGCCCTGGGTGTGGGGACCATCCACAGTGAACAGGGCAACTGGGGGTAATCTTTGAAGATGAAGGTGGATTTGCTGCTAAAGCAAGGGGGTGGAGAACATTTCCAGGAGGCAGAGCCATGTGGGTAAAGGTCCAGAGGTTTCAAGCCTGGGGTTGGCGGCTAAGCCCAGACCAACGGTGCCTTCTGGAAGCCTCCCTGATGCCCCATCAGGGCACACTTCAGTATGACGCACCAGCACGTTATGTCGTGCATGATAAATGTGCACTTGACCCCTTTGCCCACCTAGACTGGAAACTCCCAGGCACACAGCATGGCTGGGAGGTCCCTGGCCAAGTTTGGCTGAATAAACGAGTGAACAAGGACAGGACTCCCGTCTGTGTCTACTGCCAACCCCGGCTCCTCACAGTGTGTCTGGGACGCGGTGGGAATGAACAGGCCAAGGTCAGCACAGCAGCTGTGGCCCCCACGCCCGTGGCCCCCCCGCCCGCGGCCCTGCCCCGGGAGCCGAGTGCACCAGGACTCACTGCTGACGAAGGAGGGCAGCAGCCTCCCGAAGCGCAGCAGCGGCTCCTCGTTGAGCTCGGTCGACTTGTCCACGAGTTTGAAGAAGACGTCGTTCGGCTCGCTGGCGAAACCATACACCTCCTTGCTGTTCACCTTCCTCCCGATGCCCAGGATCACGAAGAAGTACCCCTTGCACTTGGCCTGCAAGATGGCTCTCTGGGCCGCCTCCAGCTGCTGCTTCGGCACCTCGCCCGTCAGCATCAGGACCACGATCTTCAGGTCCCGTGGGTTGGGTGCGCTTTCAAAGACGTTCTCGACAGTGTAGTCGATGGCGCTGCCCAGGGCCCTGGTCCCCTGCAGCTGGGTCATCCTGCTGCTGAGAAAGGCCACCAGCTTCTCCTTGGAGCTGTAGTCCGTCAGGGAGAACTCCACCTTCACGGGCGGCACGCTGGCGTTGCCCGCGGACTCGTAGGGCGCGTGCTGCACGACCGCCACCCTGGCAAAGTGCTGGGAGGCCTTGGGGTCTGGGCTCACGTCCAGCTGTCTGACCAGGTACCCTATGTACTTCTTCATCTCGTTGAACTGGAACGGCGTGGTGGACTCAGAGCTATCTAAGATGAAAGCCATGTCGATGTCCACATCGCTGCCCGCTGCTCTCCGGTCCCTGAAGGCAGGCTTCCAGCTGCCAAATCCACAGGAGGGGTCGATGTTGCAGATGTCTGGAAAGAAGCATGGTGGCCCATTTACTCTGTGACTCCCGCAGCGAGACACTGCACATCAGATCACAGGAGTCGGTGGCAATGAGAATGGTCACATCGTATAGAAAGCGATTTACACCTTGCTGACATCGCTGGGGCCACGTCTCAGTTTTCATCACCCAGCACTTACTAGAGGAAACAGGTCAGTAAGCTAAAATCTGTGTTAGTATCCTACACCATCGGCAGAGAGGGAGGGAGGAGAAGAGAGAAGAAGGGGAGGTGGGATGGTGGGAGGGGAGGGAGGAAGAGAAGAGGAGAAAAGGAAAGAATTTTTTTACTTCTTTGCCACTCCTTGAAGGAATGTGTTCCAGAAAGTCATAGCCAAATAAATTCTGGGCTCCAAGGTCAAAACACAAGCAGAGCCCACTTTCTCCCTTATTACCTAGAAATCTAGTCACTCCCCTATCAAAGAGAAGCTGTTCTGGGGAGCCCACTTTAAGTGTGGAAACTGCTTATGCAGTATTTACAGGGGTAAATACAAGGCTCTGTGAATCCTCATTTAACTCAGGCTCATCGTACACATGACGCTTGTCCCCTCAAACGTCTCTCTGTGGACGGTATGCTGCACAGTCGCAGCTGGACAGATCTGCCTCCTGGAGCAGCACCTCACCCAAGCAGACGTGACAAGTCAGGACGTTCTTCAGGAAGTCCGTGAGGTCTCCCGTCGCGGGCAGGACAAGCGCATGCCCCACTGCCGTGTTGTTGATCTGGTTTAAACAAGAGGAAATGCTCAGCGGGAGTACACATGGTAAGTAACCATGTGAAAGTACAGCTAACGAATGCATTAGAGTCGCATCAATAAAATAAATCCCCCCAAAAGATCAGTATCTTCTCATTTTCTTAGAAGAGGCATTAGGAGGGAAGGCACTGATTATAATAGGAAAACGTATGCCTTCTTCCAACGAGTGAGCTGGAGTTGAAACCCCACTCCTGCGCCTTCTGCCAGACCTGAAGCAAAACTATTTAACTTCTCTGGGGTTCAGTTTCCTCAGCCGCAAGATGGAGATAACGGTAAATTCCCAATGAAGTTACTCGGAGGATGAAATCAGATAATGTAGGTAACGCGAGTGGTATGGCCTCTAGCAAACAGCGGAGACCTAAATGTTGCGTTATTTATAGCAATAATAATAGCAACTAGCAAATGTTGGCCCCACCCCTCTCCCACCTTCCCAGGTCTAAAAAGGGGTGTAACCACCGAGCAAGTCAGGAAATCACTTCCAGAAGATTCAAAAGGTCCTGCCCACCACAGAGCCCGGGACACCATCACTGATTATTCCTTCAGTGAATGATTAAATTGCATGAATGAATGAATGATTAACTTTTTGAACTTGCTGAAACTATTCTGTCAAGAAAGACGCATGCTCCTGGGTCACCGAGCGCTCACAAGGGGAGGCATACACCCGTGAGCTCCTTACAGAAGCATTCGGCTGGTAGCCCAAGCCGGAGAGCCAAGCCCAGCGCTCAAACTGGCCTGCAGTTGGCAGAATAAACCCTGAGAGACAGCGGCAGTGATCCGACTGTCTCTTGCTGCCAGGGCAGCGGTAAAGCCATAGAACATCCAGTTTGGGAGGCAGGACATTAGGGACCATCTCGCCCCCGCCCCCTCCGCCGCCTCTTTCGTCTGTAACAGGGGAGAAGTCTGCGACACAGAAGGGGAGTGACGTGGCCATGCTAATTTCAGCAGCTTAACGCTAGAAGGTGGCTGGACTGGGACTGGAGCCCAGACCCCCTCACGGCTGGTCCTCAGCCTGCTGCTCTCCCTCCCGCCCAGCATCCACCCGTGTGGACAGCTCAGTGAACATTAATAGATTCATTAACCAATTATTACACATATTACCGTGACCATTAAATAAGTCATTGAAGCAAATGACAAAAATGCACTTCACTGCTTCACCCACTGAAGCTAAGCACTTCCTTGCCATTTGCTTCAAAGTCCTGTCTAATTGTTGGACTTCTCAGCCTGGCTGAGAAATGCTTGACAGGGCCACAGTTCGGGTGCTGGGCTCGCTGATGTTTGGAGGACCTCCCTAGGAGACGGTGGGTCTCCAGGGTCAACCTGGGAGAGTCTCCACCACGATGCGAGGAGGGACCTGGTGGGGATGAGTCACGGGCATCTGGATGCCCATCCAGGGCCGGAGCCATCAGGCTGCTCTGGAAATCTCACAAGTGAGATTCTCAGTCAGTTCAGAGCCACCTGGAAGCTTTGAGAGGCTCCGTGGGTGGGGTGGGGGTGGAATTGGGACACAGGTGTGGCTGAACATCCTCTCAGAGCCCAAGATGCAGCAAGAGTGGTGCAGACGCCCGGAGCACAGACCTGCAGGGCGTTCAGCAGCGGGCGGTCCTCCTGGTTCGTGAGGAACAGGGGCGTGATCCCAGCATCTGAGAGCTTGAGCATGGCCTCCCGGAGCTGCGGGGATGCCCTCGTGGGTTTGTTGCTGAAGAAAACGGCCACCTTCCTCATAAGGAATCCATTCCGCACTCGCTTAAACGTGTTTCTGGCCACGAAGGATATGGCTGTTTCCAGGCTCTGCTGCTTGGACGTCAGGGCCACCTGCAGGTTCTTAATCTTGTCCAGGAGGACAGACTTCTTCTTGGAGTCGGCAAAGCGGATCTCCGTGGTCACCTCATTGTTGTAGGTGACCACGGCCACACGGGCCCCCCGTGGGCAGTTGCTCTCGGCGATGGTCAGGTCGCCCACGATCTTTAAGACCACATCCCTCATCCGGCTGAACGTGTCCTGGGTGACCCCCTCCGATGTGTCCAAGGCAAAGGCCAGCTCGGTCGGGAAGACAGGGCACTCCAGGGGCCCTGTGGGAAGTGGGGAGTTTCATAGACAAACTACTTACTGGAAAAGGATCTCGTTCCTTCCGCAGGAGAAAGCCGAACGACTGAACCGACTTACCGTAGCAGCAAGCTAGAAGACAAACAAAGAGGAGCGTGAAAGCCGGGTCTACCCAGCGGGAATTCCAGGTGTGAGAACAAAGAGGCGTCGCAGACAGGAAATCGTGTACTTACGGCATTTATCCTTGATGTTCTGCACCAGGGCACATTGCTTAAAAAGGAAAGGAAAGAAGATGTGAGGAGAGTGGGCAGACGGCTCCCAGGGCAAGGGCTCATGCAGCACACATGCAACTTACGTCCACCGAGTCGCCTCTGGGGCCTTTGTATCCCTGCAAAACAGGAACGGGAGGCTGAGAGCCCGCAGACGCCAGGGCGCGGGGCTCCCCACAGACGCGCAGGGCGCCTGGACCCCACAGACACGTGACAGAGGAACAAGACGGGCCCCCCGCCCCGGCCTTGCTGGTTCCCAGGCTCTCCCTGTACGTCTGACTTGGCTGCTCAAAGAGCAAGAGACAGAAGGCTCTGAGGACAGCAGTGCTTCCCCCGTAAGGAGAGTAGCCCCACGCCCTGGAAACTGGGAAGCTCGTCACTGATCAACATAAATCACACATCTGAGCTTGAGTCTAAACCCTGCTTCTCCTGTGAGAAGAGCTTCCTTTCGCCTGCTGGCCTCCCGCCTCCTGTGGCAGGAGGGACACCCAGGAGCCACTTAGCTACCCTGTGGGCTCCAGGTCTAAAGCGTCCTGGCTGATTTCCACTCTGTGGATACACCCGTGGCTGCCCTTGGCATCTCATCCCAGTGTGTGGCGCCTGAGGGTCATGCAGGCGCCTCCTGGGCAGGCGAGCATCTTTCCATCGGGCTGCCCTGCCCGGCTCCCGCTGCAGCCGGCTAACCATCTCCGCTAAAGCCTTCCCTCGCTTAAACACCTGGCTCTGCCTTCTCCCCCTGGGCCTGACAGTCTAAGCCTTTAACCGCTCCTCCTAAGGGTGATTCTCCATTTCCTGGGTTAGCTTTTCCATTCTTTCCTGAACCTCATCAACTTCAACGTAAGGAGACAATACAGGGAAAAAAAGCCAAGCCAGAAAGCAAAGACCTTCGTAATGAAGAGGTGTGGAAGGACTGCAGAAGCACCCAGGCAGCAGGGGCAGAAGTCAGGTTTAAGCCATGAATCGGCAGCTCCCTTGGGGGTTTTGTAGACCAAAGAGAGCAACCCCCAAACCGCCGTCTGCCGCACTGTACCCTTCCACAAGATGCAATTGGGAGGTATTAAAATTTGTTCTCTTTCATTCGTCCTCTACACAAACCTCAAACAAACCTACACCAGGAATTTGTAAAGGCAAATTTCGATACACCCTAGGTGACACAGAGTTCCACGTGAAACCTGCTTTAACAGTTTCTCGTTACTCTAAATCTCCAAAGCTCTTTTCTCTACTGAGGTATCAGAAGGGAAGTGTTTTTAAAAAATACAAAAACAAAACAAACAACAATGATGACAAATGCAGACACCTCCTCTGTGAAGGAAGGAGGTGGAAGTTTTCAGGGACTACGTGAAAGGCTCCAGCCCTCGGGCAGCTTGCCGGGAAGCAGGTAAGTACTTACAGCTGGTCCTGGGTACCCAGGGTCTCCCTTCTGTCCGGCGATGCCCGGAGGTCCTGAGTTTCCCTAGAAGGCACAACAAATACGGCTGAGCTGTGAGAAGACGGAAACTTCTCAGCTCCTGCAGGAGGAAGCGTGGCGAAGGCGGCTTCCTCCCCCGTCTCCGGGAGAAGTCTCGTACTTTGAGCTTAAGCATCTCTGCAATTCAGGAATACGGACAAGTGGCCCCAACAAAACGGACGCGTGCGTCCCACACCTATGTTCAAGGTAAGATCCTCCCCTGAGAACCTTTAATCAGTCTCCTCTGGATGCATAAGAATCAGTAACTGACAATTAACTAGCTCACCCTGGGACGTGGACGGCCAAGCCAGTGTTTTAAAGCTCTACCTTGAGTAGTAGAGGGTCAAGTCTGAAAGTCCTCACTGAGCAAACTGACAGGATAACTACGATGACCTTAACTATATCTTAAGCTAAAAATGACTGTTAGAAGCCTTTACTCGTTTCTAGGCCACAAGTTGCTGATTCAAGACTCTGTGCGATCTCAAGAGGATGAGCAAACATCCACTAAGGGGAATAATCCAAAACCAAGAGCAGCTTAAGAGGGGGGTCTGTTCCTGCTGGGAGGGGCGAGGGGCGCCCTGCGTCAGCCCGGCCCGCCTCCGAGCCGGAACCCTGCTGAGCACCTCGCACACCTCACCAAGTCCGTCTCCTCACCGTCTGGTGGGCGTGACCGAACGCGTCTGCACAGACCTCCGACGTCACTCATTCTGAGACCTGAGTCCCCCTGGCACCGGGCTGGGAGGGCGCTGGGGGCTGGGACCCTCGGGACGGGTTAGAGGACGGGGCCCTCCAGGCCTCGCTGTAGGAGGAACATGCCCAAAGGAGGCCCGCACAGACAGCCCTGCAGGGGTCCTGAGGACACCCGTCTAGGGCCTAGGCTCTCTCTGCTCCCACCCCATTCAGCCTGCAGCCAGGCTGCGAGCCGAGAAGGGATGGAGTTTTCAGCGTTCAGCCCCGCGGCCACAGAGGTTCTGGCTCTCCACCTGCAGCCGAGCTGTGGGGAAACTTACCCTTCGGCCTCGGATGCCTTTGGGTCCTGTGGGGCCGTCTGTCCCCGGCTCACCGGGGTTACCCTGGGAAGAGAGCCAGGAAGCAGCGCATTAAGCTCTGGAGTGGCGGGTCCAGCTGAGGGTCCCTGGGGCCTGTGGACCACCCTTCCCGCTGAGTCACAAGTGCCACCGTGCACTTGCAGAGTCAGTCTCAGCTTCCGGAGTCAGTAATGATGACATCGTGAAGCATGTTAAGGTTTACAAAGTATTTTCCTGCAGTGTCATTTCATTTCATCCACACAAGCTCGTGACAAGTGCATACTGTCATCGCCATCTGACAGACGAAGGAGTGTCTGGGAGACGGTGGGCCTTTCCCAGAGTGTCTCAGTTCGTAAGCATCTGACCCAAGACTAGAGCCAAGATCCTGTGACTTTTCAGTCCATGGTCACGTCAGACTCGTCCTAAAACAACGATGATGTTTTACCATCAGGGGAGTATTTACCTTTGGACCTGGGTATCCAGGGAATCCCCTTTCTCCCTACAAAAGATAAATAAATGAGTCAATAGTTGGTTCCAACTTAAATCCATCTAAACATAAATTATTCTTGAGCAGAAAAAAAGCACATCCGTAGAGTCACCAAGAGAAAAACCTCACTAGTCTACAATTAAATTTTGAGAGAGAATTCCTTAAAAATACAACACGTCAGAAGTTCAGGAATCCTCAGCAGACACATACCTTTTTGCCTCTGCGTCCTTCACTGCCAACTCCGTCTTGCCCGTCGTCTCCCTAAGAGTGGAAAGACAGCGTTACTGCACGTCCCGTGTCTGGCAGCCACAGCCTCCTTTGTCTCAAGGCCTGAGCAGTGGGTCTCCGAGTCCCTGAAGTGTTCCCAGACCGATGTACAGACCAAGGAAGGGCTCCTACTCCTATCCGTCCTCCAGGGCAAACAACACCCTGCCTGCGGGGGGCTGAGCGCGGTGGACTGCAAGGTAGAGAACCGCTAACGGCGACTGGAAAAGATGCTGTTTGGATACAGACCCAAAGACTCATCAAGCCAGGACTCGCGAAGCCCACCTGGACCTGCACATCTACGGGTCTGACTGTACTTCCAAGCAAGAGCGCGGGGCTCAGCCTCGCAACCCCCTGAGTCTTCTGCGCGCAGCCCTTCCTCCCCTCCGCCGCCCCCTCTCCCTCCCCCACCGGGCCTCCTCCCTTCCTTCCCAAAACCGGCTCCCTTGCGCTCTCAGACCTGCCCCTCGTCACTCTCTCCTGGGGGCTTCCAGAACCGGGCACTGTTTGCTATTTCAAAAGACTCAGAAGACCTTCTATGTGATATACATTAATCTCTCTAATAAAACACGCTCCGTAGTTAATTTACACTTTCAAACAGCCGAACAGCCGTTGCCCTAATTTATGGAAATGGAATCAGGAAGCGATCTCATTCAATGATTTGAGTAGATTTTAAAGTCTAATTTTTCCCCCTCTGCTTCTGAGACTAAGAGTAATAGCAATTGGGTTTTTAAACTTCAGTTAGCAGTAGAGAAAGTACAAACACAAGAAAAGTGTTTTCAAGCTTTGATGCTACAACAGTCGGACAAGCCTGGTCCATTTATACAGGTTTTAGGTGTAATAATTCGTTTTAGAGAACTGCTCCACGTGCTGTAGATTTCTTTTTCCTGGACAGCACGTGTGCGACAGCAGTGCTGTTAGGGAGCAGTTAGAGTGCTTTCAAGTAACTTTTTAACATGAATTCTCAAAGTAAGAATTTCTGTTGCTGGGATGTCTCATTCAAAAGTGTTTCAGTTTGAATTCAGGTCTTATCAGAGCCAATTCCGTTTTCAACCAAGGACATTTATTTCTTTACAGAAAAGTCCCCCCTCCTCGTGCTTGCAAAGGATCTGCAAGACCTGAGATGAAGGTGGTTCCAGAGTCAGTGAACCACCTCACTCACTCAATCACTTAGCAGAAAAAAATACAAGAAAAAAAAATCTTTACTCACACCCCCTCCAATGAAATAAAACTCATTTTGAAACTCATTTGCTGATTATAAGCAGCAGAATTCACTGTTGTCAATCATACCCCCAGTCACATAAGAAGCAGCCGTCGAGCTATCACTAGTGGAACCAACCCAGGTTGCAACGGCAAAGGCCAGCGCCGCCCAAGACCCCACCCCCCGCCTCCTGAGCAGCTCAGCAAAGTCGGGGCAGCCTGGGCCCCGTGCACCCGGTCATCTTACCGTCTCCCCACGGGGGCCCCGGTTCCCGAGTCCTCCCTTAGGTCCTGGCTCTCCGGGCTCACCCTAGACACGAGAAACAGGGCGGAGACACCTGTGGGCCTGGGGCGATTTAAAATGAGATTCTAGCCTTTGTAATTTCCTAAGCACTAACAGTACTAGGAGCATCTTTGTTCTAAAAGTAAAGTAAAATAAAATAAAATAGTGATTCCAAGCACTTGGGTGACCCGCCCAGCCGGCCGTCAGTGGGGGAGGCTGGGTGGGAAAGACCAGAGGTGGGGGGAGGGGTGTGCAGACTGAGCAGCTGGACAGACCGACAAAGGAGGGAGTGGCGACTCGGGGTCTGGCCGGGCCTGGCATCGAGAAACAAGCGCTACCTCTGTCCAGACAAACCTTTCTTCCCAGGGGCCCGGTCCTGCCGCGTTCTCCAGGAGCACCTGCCGTTCCCCCGCTTCCCTGGAGCACGAGGAGAGGAGAGAGTCAGCGAAACACTCACCCTCCAGGCCGAAGTGTCCGCATCGCGCCCGCCCCGCCCCTCGTGGAGGTCGGAGCCGCAGACGCTGGGTGCTGGAGACCCCGGTGCAAACGTGCCTGGAGACGGCTTGTGCAAACCTCAGCGACTGATTGTAGTTAACGTCCATCTCCTAAGTTACCAATTATGGGGACAAGTACCCAGATTATGTGGCTTACCTCCTCTCCCTTCCTCACCTCCACACCCAGCACCTGCTTTCACAGGTGTGGAAACCACGCACACGCACTGAGGGAGTGAACAAACCAACAAAGGAACCGAGTTCTTAACACGCAGTGCAACCCGCGGGGCCCAGAGCCAACTGGAAGGGACGGGGCCAAAGCAGGCGGTGGGAGCTATGTTCATGGTTAACTGTTTGCAGAGCTTCGCCCTGCCCCCGCACCACCAAAATTTCTTGACAAAACAGAGGTTAAATAAATGGTAGGGGGAAAAACCACAAAAGATGTAAAAATAGGTATCTATCAAATTTCAAACTAGGCAGGGACTTTCTCAGCAAAGAGGGGCCCTCACAAAGTCCCTGCTTCCACTGTAAAACATTTCTGTGCATGTATGTAGCCTCAGGCTAGTTCACTGCCAGTTAATTAGTCATCACAGTTTTCCGGAGCAAACGATAGGACGGCTCCCCAGTATGGCATCAGACAACCGAGCACGGAGCGAGTGCCGGCGCCCGGTGCCAGCTCAGCCACAACACGTCTTCACTAATGTCCAGGACCCGTGGATGTTTGCAGTGACCACAAATTTAAGGAACCTCTTCCCTGTCGAACTTGAGGCTGGGGAATGCCTTACACAGAATATCAAACCCCCGGGTCAATTTCCAGGAGCCAAACATGAAACAATGCAGCATAACCTGAGCATTCGGGCAGACCGATCTGACTTCACGCAGACCCACCCTAAGGCGTCTACATAAGGCATGTCCTTTCTTTGCTGACCACCCAGCTGGCGTGTATTTGGAAGCAGCAGCCCTGGGACTCACGAGCCCCTGAAGCACCAAGAAAAAACGGTCTCTTACTTCCTTGAGGGAACCAGCCAGTTGCTGGGAGGACTGAGTGGGACCAGGTCCATGTTGCCAGAGTCAGGCGGAGGGGACGGTCTGGCTCCTGCCCTACCATCCACGGAACAGGAAACCCCCAGCCCGCTGGGGCAACGTGCTACCCACTTAGCTAAAGAGAAGAGTGGTACCCAGACGGACTTACCCGGGGTCCAGGGATGCCTTGTTCTCCGCTCAGGCCGGGAGGGCCGGTGGGACCCGCTGGTCCCTGGAGAAGTAAAATGCCCACGTGAGTGCGGTGTTGACGTGACACACCACGGACACCATGAGATCCACCCAGGGGAATGCTGTTCCACCACGGGAAGGAACGAAACACTGACACGGGCCACAGCGTGGAGACACCTCTAAAACACGGTGCTCAGTGCAAGAAGCCAGACACAAAAGGCCACTTATTACATTATTCCATTTACACGAAAGGCCCAGAACATGCAAATCCGTCAAGACAGAAAGGAAATCAGTGGTTGCCAGCAGCTGGGGGGATGGGGCACGGCAACTTAGTGGGTCCAGGGTCTCCTCTGGGGATGATGAAAACGTTTTGAAACTAGACAGACAGGGTGGTGGTGCAATGTTGAGAGAGCACTAAATGCCACTTTAAAAGATTGATTTTGTGTTCAATTTTATAAAATTGTTGGCCGCTTCAATTTAAAAAACTGCCAGGACATGTGGGAAAGTACAAGCAGGCGTGCTGCCACAGCAGGGGTACTGACCTGTGCTCCTCTGGTCCCCTGCTCTCCCGCAAAGCCCTGCTGGCCGGGACCGCCCTTGTTGCCCTTTGAAACAAGAAAAGGTGCAGGGAGGGGTCAGCCACCTGTTCCACAAACACAGCTGTGCCAGGGCTCAGAAGTGACGACAGGACAACCCCAGAGCGAGATGTCAGGGCAGTGGTCACTTTGCACGGCCATTGATTCTCCAACCTTATCTTTGGTTCTCACTCTGGCCTTGCCTTGTCCTCAAGACAACTTCATGAAATGAAGCTATCTTGGACCCAAACATGTCCTGCACAGGTGAGGAGACGGAGCCACCAAGACATGTGACTTGCTGATGACGGAGAAGTGGACATGTCACGGGCAAGAGGTGCCCAGGACGCTGCCTCTGCCATCTTTCCCTTCATTCCCCCCATCCCCACTGTCACTTTTGTTTTGATAGTCATTTTCACTGCCATCATCATTTTCACAAGGCTCTGTAGAAGAGCTAAATTTAAGGGGATGGTAGCTGCTGTTTGAGCTGCACCCCCGATGGTAAAGGAGAAAGTAATTTTCACTTTGTGGGCAGGAGGGAGGCCCATCTCCTGAGAGCACGTGGTGAGGCACATGGTGGTGATGGAAAAGGGGTGGCAGCTTAGCGGCTTACCTTAGCTCCTGCGGGTCCCCTTCGGCCAAAGCCGCCCTGAGGAAGAAGTCACACAAGCTGTGAGGGGGAGGCAGGGAGGCTGGGGGAGGCTGGCCTCTGCCATTAACCCTCCGCTTCACGACACCCACCGGGCACCAGATGCTGTGCCCCCTCCACCTTGAGGAAGCGCTCATGAAACAACCCCTTCGCTCCTGCCCTCACCTCAGAAAAGTGTTGCTTCCAGGCTGTCCTCATTAACCATCCAAAGGGAAGGTCTGAGAATGACTCTAGTCCTATCGACCAAAATGGGGGCCCCTCGGGCCACACGCTCCCAGCCACGTGAGGGCTGTGAAGCAGGCGTGCCGACCAGTCTAGTTTTGTTCCGTTTTCTTAATTGGAGGGAGGGGGGATGAAATGCGCTCACTCTAGTAGAAGGGAGTCCCAGACTCTCCTGGCCAAATATAACACACTCCTGGTTGAGTAAAGGATCCAAAGTGCACACATGTGCACCTAAGAGCCCGGCTGCCCTTGGTTTGGACTCCTGACTTAGCAGCATCTTCCTCGACGCTCCAGCAGTGACCTTAGTTCAAATAACTGTGGGCTCCCTGCATGAGTAATCCATGAATTCCCACCTCGGGATCGCTGCTGCTTCGCTGGGAGGGCTTGGGGGCAGCATTTGGACATTCCAGATGGATCTTTGCAAGGTTAGGGTCGGTGTTCTGAAGCCTGTGACACACCAGCCTATTACAGGCTTGGACCATCTGTTGCATCAACCCCAGAACCACATTCTCTGCTCCCAACAGACACACCCAGTGACCTTCTAGGGTGACCGTCCTGCTGTGATTCACTGTAGTGGCAGCTTCTTTAATGGAAGACCTTCCTCCTTCCAGGGACAACACGTGGACAGGAGGGGGATAGGCACCGCCAGCCCACTCCTCCAGAGTAACCATCTGGCTGGCCACTCACCAAGGGGCATCCCAGAGTGTGACCAGAGGCCCCCTGTGCTCGGGCCACAGGCAGCCGCAGAGACCCTGAGGGTGACGTGAGGCGCGAGGCAGCCCGTGGGAGGGACGCCTTTCATCTTGGCCTGAGCGAGGTCATGAGGGAAGACAGCCCAAATCTGTACCAAGTGCAAACCCAAGTTTCTACCCTGTGAACAGAATTCAAACCAATTGTATGCACAGCTGTATTTTAAGTCTTATCATGGAAACAAAGTTTTGGCTCTGCACACGAACCGAGTCGTACAGCACATTGTAACAATTATTTCTTACTTTCTTTTCATCAGATAGCCCAACAGCATTATTCAAGAATTACACTCAAACCTTTCCAGATAGCAGTTTCAAATTCTAAGTTTTCTTCTGAATTTTAAAAGCAAAGCCATGCTCTGCAGTGTATCATCTGCTTATGGGTGAGAGTCACTTCCTTTAAGAGCCCCCGTCTGCACACGCCCTCTGATCGTCCAGCTGCTGACCCCTAACCACGTGGCTGTAGTGGGGGGAATGGCTTGGGGGCCCCGTTGTGGCCCCGTCTGTGCCCCGTTCCCAGCCAGATGCTCAGCAGAGACGGGTCTCAGGCGCCCAGCAGTGCCCTGACCTGGCCCTAAGGATTTACAAACTTCCAGGTCATCCCCCAGCTAGGAGCTCCGAGCTCCCTACACACCGGAGCCTGGAAGCATTCAGACGGCTCCCCAAAGATCACGCATTTCCCTTTGGCTTCAGCAGTCCTACGACAAGACTCAAAGACGGGCCACGCAGTGAGCGGCCTGCAACAGGCATTTCCGAAACGTCTTGAAAAAGCAATCGCGAGGTGCAATTCACTAGAAAACTGTTTCGTTGCTTGAGTTACAGCAGCCCCAGGAAAACAAACACTTAGAAAACAAAACAAACATGCACCTGCACCTTCCTCCCCCGCTGCCCTGTATTCGTGTTTCTGTTCAGATTCTTTAAATATTCAGGGGGATCAAATCTGGCCAAATATTCAAAAGTGGCAACAATACTATTTTTAAAATGTCTGTTCAGGACACCAGAAACTAACACAACATTATAAACCAACTATACTTCAATTAAAGAAAAAAGATTTGGTTTAAAAAAAGTGTTCAATTTAAAAAAAGATTTGGTGAAAAAAAAGTGTCTGTTCAGTATGTTTTTGGGAGGGGAGAGAAGCAGGGCTGGGGTGAGCCCAGAGTAAATGATTAAATCAAAGATTCTATAAGCGGTAACAAGTGGGTGACGCTGGTTTCCAAAACCCCCTTAAATTCCCTAAATAGACAGTTCCCAGTAACTCTGCCCCAGGGAGTGTCCAGCAGGTTTAGGTAAATATGACCCAGGACCCCCCCAGACCGCAAGAGGCACTCACGCTTTTCCCGGGCTCTCCAGGACTTCCAGACACCCCATCTCTCCCAGGGAGACCCTGGCGTGGGAAAGAAAACTGACATAAGAGTCTCGTCTGCAGAGAAGAACGTGTGACTCAAATACTGCACAAGACGCCGCGGGAAAGGAACGGGTCCACCGCGGGAGGGTCACACGTTCTGCGGGTGCCTCAGACACAGGTGCTCCTGCCCCCACAAGCCTTTGGCCTGCCAAGCACTTTCTGGAAATATCTAAGGGGCACAAACTCTGCTGAGAGGAAGTCCCTCTTGGAGGGGCTGTTTCTGTCCCGTTGGAGACCCCGTCACGGGCATACCCATGCTCCCAGGACTCTCTGCCCCTGACCCTGACCTTGTACATGCACAGCCTTAAAGGCCATGTCCACGGCCTCCGCGGATGGCCAAGAACCATTTGTTCATCTTTGAACGTGAGCTTTGTTTCTCAGACCCTCCGCCCAGGGGTTGTCTAGGAACACGAGCACTGTACCATGGGGCCGATATCTCCGGTTTCTCCTTTGGGTCCTCTCTGCTGGCTGTCCTGTCCTGAGTCACCCTGAAAACATCACAGGTCAGGGAATAAACCACGTGTGCACAGAAGGCCACTGCTGCTGGGACAGTGGCCAGAAAATTATTAGTGATGGTCTGAATGCCAGTCCCTTCAGCCACGTCCCACCCAGACAACGCCCACCCCCTGACCGAGCCCACGTGGGGTCAGCGATCCCTGGGAGCCCCAAACTGGGGGGCGAGGGTTCTTGCTCTGTTCACTCTTGCCTCGGCCTGGCCTGGACCGGAAGAGGCTGGCCCAGTGACGGCCACCTGCTGACAGGCTTTACAGAGCCACAGAACCAGGAAAGTGGCAAGCGCTGCTCTTCTCCTAAAGCAAACTTAAAAGTGTCCCGAGACCACATTTCAGGGACAAGTCTTGGGTCTTCGTATGGTGGACCTTGCAAACACTTATCTTTGCAGCGAGAGAGCAAAGACGTTTCCAGCCACCCCAAAATTCTAAGAAAAGGACAAACCCCATATTTTGCCAACACGTTTTGAAGTCATTTCCAAGGTAAAATCCTTTCTTTCAACCCCTTCCCCAGCCCCAGTTCTCAAATCAGCAACAAGCAGTCCCCCTTACCGGGTCACCTCTGATCCCCATGTCCCCTCTCTCTCCTTTGTCCCCTTTAGGTCCTTTGTCACCCTAAATAAAAAACACAGGCAGAGACAGAGAATTAGATAGGGTTTCAAATTTTTAGCTCACCCTTAAAATCGCATTCTTCAGTTCACACATCTGAAATAGAACCAGGTTTCAGCGTTTATCATGTGCCCATTTGCCATGAAGATAAAATTATTTCCAAACATTTCAGGTCACCTACAAGTATGTATTGGGGACCCACTCTGTGCCAGGCGCTGGGGATTATTTATTTCAACAGAACACACTCAGTCTCTGCTCAATTGGACACACTCTCCAAACAAGAAAATATAATGTAAATATGTCACAGCCAACGGGAAACATAGGAGACACCAAGGTTGCACTTCCAGAGGGAAGTCAGGGAAGACTGCCTGGAGGAAGCAGTCTTAACCTACGAAATAAAAGAAATAATCCCTAAATGCAATGTTCATAGTTTTCCTATAACAGTAACACTATAGAAACATGCTTACCCTTCTTCCCAGATTCCCTTTCTCTCCAGAAGAACCGGGCAATCCCTTGTCTCCCTGCCAAAGACAACAATAAAATGTCATTCCTGGCACAATGTCTCCCACAGACTGAGGCATTAGTCACTGGAATCTTCAGGACCAAAAGCAGTTTGGACTCAGAGTGTAAAATCACTTACATCTTCACCATCAAGACCATCCAATCCGATTTCTCCTAATTCACCCTGTGAGGGAACAAGACACATGGTGAGTGTAGAAAGCCCTCTGGAGAAAGAAAAATGAGAACTACTGAGGAAGTTTTATATATAAAAAGGAAAGCAAGCTTAAGTACCTTCTCTCCTGGGAATCCACGGGAGCCCTAGGAAGTAAGGGAAAGGGGAAACGTTAGCTCCTGAACAGAACGGGCTAGAATAGGCTCAGGGCTGCCCTTTTCCCGTCCCCAGCTTGAAAGCCAGTGTCTGAAAATTCAGTGTTAGAGATTCATCTGTTTGGATAGCTCTCTCTCTCCATCACGAGGGGATCGTAAAGCTAATGTGCCTGGATCTGAGCGCCTGGGTGGTCTTGGCTCTCTGGGCAGGAAGGTGGGCCCTGAAGGCCCTTTTCTAACATTGCAGAGAGGTGGCCCGGCCTTCAGCACCTACTCACAAACCAGTAAACTCAGAAGGTCGTCAGCCCTTGACTCCAAGCCTCTCTCCCTCTCCCCACCTACCTCGCTCCCCCCAGGGTCCGGGGGCTGAAGCGGCCCGCTGGGCTCTGGCCTTCTCCACCCGGCCCCCCGCCACCCGTGTTCTGCCATCTGTCCTCGTGGGCATGTCCTGGGCTGCTTCCCGCTTCCCTGGGACACTACCTCTCCAGCCCCAGGCTCCCTCCCCGGCAGAGCCGAGAAGCCCTGGCGGCTGGAGAGGCTGCCTCACTTCGGCACGTGCTGCTGACCCCCATCTCCCCGTGGCGAGGGGCCAGGGGCTGCGGTCCCCTCCCCACGCCTGGGGGCCACCCCACTCTACCTTGACTCCTCTCTGCCCC